ATGACCTTTGATGACCTCTTCCTTTATTTTAGTAAACAGACAAGAATCCCAATCATGCCTGGAACTAAACATTGTTCCTGTTACAATAAAAATGTGTTTGTCTAGGGATATGTCTAGGGATAAAATGGTACATCCAGCTTACAAATGAGGAAAAATCCACCATTTAATGTATTCTAGGGTAAATTAAGAAACCAAATTTACTCTTCCCTCTTTCTTTTGTAATTTGTACTAAGGCTTTTATGAACCAGTGCAGGTTTGAGCAGTTTCAATTTAGCTGTTTCATTCTTGTCTAATTCTGAGCCTGTTTTAAGCACAGATAATGCTCTATTTATGTTTCCAAAACAGAATAACAGCTTCATAGTCTTAAATTGTGTTTTAAATAGCAATGCATGATACGTACTTATTTGATGACCTACCATATTGGTGCCTCAAGTAAAACTGACTGTGTGGTATTTGTTTGGGCTTGCAAGAGTGATGCAGTGCAGGATTTACCTGAAGCAGAGAAGCAGTGTCAGTGTGGTTGTTTTTCAAGGTGTTAAAAGGAAATAGAGAACATGAATATATTATATCAGTTATCATATTGCATGAATTGCCATTTCTTTAAAAAGATCCTGATAAGGTTTGACCAGTCTGTGTATTTCTGAAAATAGAGAGGAGTCTTTATAACAGCTGAATAGCAGTGTGATTGGACCTATAAAGCAGATGCTAACTTCAGAGTTGTTAGCATCCTACCATGCACCCAAATTCAGGCTGTATTGTATATTGTAAATGTATTAACATTCTGGATAAATTTAAGTTTTAAAAATATCAGTGTAATGTTTCAAATTAAAAGGGTAGATTGTGAGCAAGAGCATATTTTTATAAAAGATTAAAGAACAAATAAATAAATAATCAAACACGAATATGTCAACTAGGGAAATATTACTTATAAACTAAGTATTGGATGTCCATAATTATTTTAGTAGCAATTTAACTCCCTCTTAACTTTAATCACACTATATGGTAAAATATGTTTAAGTTCAACCAAAAAAAGGGGGGAAAATATTTCATACTTCTAGTTGTTAAAATTGTTGAATGATGGTCACATTTGTTGCCACTCAGATTGCATGTATTGTCACTTATTGGCTTTTAAAACCTACCTTTTATTATTAACTTTTTTTTTCAATGAATAATTTAAATAACTTTAGTTTCCAGCACTAGTTAAAGTCAAAATAAAAATCATTGGTAACTGGTGGAGGCTCCTTTTAGTGCTCATTTCACCAAATGTTGTCAGGCTGTCAGGAGCTGTTTTATTAGCTGATATTAATCTGTTCAACAGGGGAACTTATGTCGTACTCCTTTTCTTGCTTAAGTTGCCAAGTCTAATGCAAGTGAGGTGGTATTACATAGAAGACAATAGTACTTTAAAGTAAACCAGAAAATTGAAAATGGGAACTTTTCTTTGAGAAGAAATATTGCAGTATTGTCACACAAGCTCCATGCCTCGAGATCTTAGTTATTTACATTTCTTAAAATCCATTTGAAGTCAAGCTTATTGTTATGGAACTATACTTTGGTCATTTCAACCTGGAGAGACTCACACAGAGAAAAGCTGCGTTTACAAAAGTATTACTCAATCTGTTTATACAGGTAACACAATCATATTCTTTAAAATGTTTCTCTCTAAGGAAAAGCAGCTTATTGCATGGACTCAATGAGTGTCTGCAATCCCTCACACGAGCATGCATGTAGCGACAGTGGAGAGGAAAATTAAATTTTTACAGGAAACAGACTTTGTTGCTGTGAATCAGAATTCACTTGGAAGAGTTACCTAGCAAAGGATTAGAGCAGTCTGCATCTGAACAAGAGACATCACAGGGAGTTCAGTTGAAGCTGATAAGAGTCTTCCAGATTACTTTTTCAATTAAGCTTCATTTTAAGATTTTTTTTTTTATTCTTGCTATCATTTTTAAAAGCTTCTCTTTGCAAACACTGGTGAGATGCAAACACAGAGTGGCGTGAATATATACCGGCGTGTATTTTGTTGTGAATAAGGGCAGCTAAAAAGAGTATAATAATTGTAAGCACACTCTAGATATTGAGCCAATGTGAACTGTGCATTATGATCTGATTTTATTGTTTAGCTATTTCTGTTTGTGAAGACAACAAATGACCACCTGTCTGCTTCATCTCCCTCTCTTTTACAGAAAATGTTTGTCGAAAGCAGATGAACAGAAAAAGCACAGAAGAAAAGAGGAAGAGAGCAAAATATTAAAGAGTGCCTTTACATCATACAAGAGGAGTATCATATATAATCTGCAGCACTTTGTGTACGATAAGCAAGAGATGGGACCACTGAAGACAAATAGAAGACGTTCTCCGCCATTAACAAGAGGCAGAGGGGGAAAAAAGGGAGTTGGTTCTCAGCCCTTAAAAGAAAAGGACTCCAAAAAAGTGAAGAAAGAGACACTTGTCAGAACCGCAGAGCACACACCCAGCACTCCTGCTAAACGCAGATACACACCGACATCCACAGATGCCAACCCAGATGATGAACCAATCGCAAACAGTAATACCATTGCTAAGGAGGAGACTACTGAACGTGTGAAGCATGGCGTGTCGGAAGCAAGTGATGAAAAGAAGGCAGAGGAAAAGAGTGAAAAGGAAAAAATGGTTGGGACAAATGGAAACAGTATCCCACCCACTGGTTCTGTAGTATTGCCTACCTCTGCCCCATCACCACTCCCCATAGCTGCACCCCAGCAAGCCACCAATCACGGCCCTGGCTTAGGCTCAGTTTCCAGTAGGAAGACGGCCACATTTAAAGCTCGTGTACCCAAGAAAAAATACATGTATGAGCACTTTGCCAACAATACAAGTGTCACAAATAATGTTCCTACCTCCAGTCCTGCTCTCATATCTAATAGCTACGGCAATTTCAACAGCAAAAACAGTCAGAGTATCAGTACTCCTAATAATATGTTTAAGTGCAGCAACAATATTACTAACAGCATTAATAAAGGCACTAATGTGAGCATAAATAGCAGTACTTCCAGTAACACTACAAGTAGTATTACCAGTACAAATAGCAGTAGAAACATTGGTGCTGGCAGCCATTACACTTATATGAATAGCATTGATAGCAGACGTAATAATTGCTCAGGTAATCAGCCATCAGTGTTAGCAGGAGAAAGAAAAGCTACAGAAGCAAACCATTTTGTCTCAGTAAAGGATAAAACCCCCAGGATCTCACATTCCAAGGAAAGAGACTCACTAACAGGAGAAAATGAATTGGAGGGGGCCCCTAACTCAGTGCGCTCTTCCTCTACCGATACAGCAAGCGAGCATTCCTCTGACCTGGATGTGATGGAGGCAACAGGACCAAATACTAAACTCCACATCGTTGCTTCTGTCCAAAACTCACATCTGAAAGAGATCAGTCTTTCAGAGGGACTGGCTGAAGCTCTGGCGAAAGGCATGAAAAATCAGAGAGTACTGGCCCGCCAAATAAAAAATAAACCGCCATGTGATATAAAGACTGCCAGCAATGAAGATTCCTGCCTCCATTCTCCTGTGTTTAGACAAGGAGTGGTGCGTAGGGTAAGTGGAGGTTCTGTTGAAGTTCAGCTCCAAGGAGTAGAAACCCTTGTTAAATACCCATTTTGTGGTGGCACCATGGTGACACCCTCTATTGAGGCCGAGAGTGCAGTCGACTTCATTTTAGATGCACCCCCACCCGGCACTTCCCCCGTGGCTGTTGGGACACGGGTGTGTGTCCCATTTGTCGAAGAAGAAGAAAGGATTCCTCCAGTGTACAGAGAAGGGGTTGTTGCTCAAGTCGACCCCCACCCTGGTGTCTCATTTCCTTATCAGGTTCTACTTAACGAAGAGAGAGAAGCTCTAGGTGGAGAGTTAGTGGGGGAGAAGAAGGAAGGCAAAGTAACGGGTCGGTTTGTCTGGGTGTCCCGACAGAGCCTAAGACTACTCATCCCTCCCTGGGAGGTTTCCCAGTTAGACGGTGGGAGAGCAAAGGAGAGAGAGCTTGAGCGGGAACGGGAGGAGAGGGAGCGCCTGGAGGAGATGGAGGTAGAGAGAGAAGTGTGCCAGTTAAGCATTGGAATGGGGGTGCTGGGAGCTGGTGCACGGTTGGGCCCTGGGTTTTCACATGAAGGGACTGAAGGGGTGCATACTTCCAGAACCGTACATCCACCTGCCAGTTCCTCCACTTTAAGCTCCAGTGTAGTTGCCATCACAAGTCATGGATGTGAAAGCAATATGTCAGGAAGAGAAAGGCAGAAACAGCCCAACACGCCAGAGGAAGATCGTGAGGTATCTCGTTTTAACATGGGTCATTCCATTGGTCCAAAAGCAAGTGCTGGAACCTCTCAGTACAGGAACATTGTTTCCAAGCCCACTAGTTACGCTCCCACATCCACTCACCTCTCAATGGTGAGGGGTGTAGGACCACTTCATCTCTCTACAATAACCAGTCCTCTGCCAACCCCATCTCCTTCCTTACTTACCCCTGAAATAAGCACCACCACTTCAAACCTACCTCTAACCAAGACCACTCCCACCCAGACTCCTACTCCCACTTCTGGTGTGGGCTCCTCCCCAGCCTCCTCCCGTTCCAGGACTCCCCTCTCACTGGCTCAGCAGAAGTACAAAAAAGGCGACGTGGTATGCACTCCCAACGGTATCCGTAAAAAGTTTAACGGGAAGCAGTGGAGGAGGCTGTGCTCCAAAGAGAGCTGCATGAAGGAGTCTCAGCGAAGAGGGTACTGCTCCAGACACTTGTCCATGAAAACCAAAGAGATGGAGGCAGCAGGGGGAGAGAAGGGAGGGGGAGGCAGCAGCTCAGGGACGGTGACCCCTTCTGACCTTCGGGGGAGGGCAAGCAGTGAGTTTGAGTGGGACGACACGTCAAGAGAGAGCAGTGAGACAAGCAGCAGAGGAGACTCCAGACCACGCTTGGTTCTCCCTTCCCTCCTCCCTCATGAGCTTTCATCAAGGTTTGATGTAGATGAATGTGAGGCTGCCACCATGCTTGTGTCCTTAGGAAGCTCTCGCTCTGGCACTCCTTCCTTCTCCCCTATCTCCAATCAGTCTCCCTTCTCCCCTGCCCCCTCTCCCTCACCCTCACCGCTGTTCGGTTTCAGGCCTGCTAACTTCTCCCCTATTACTGCATCCCCAGTCTTACAACACCGGAGACACCGACAGCCCAGTGGTGCAGGAGGGGGAGGGGGGAGTAAATCAACAACCCTAGCAGGAGCAGGTGAAAGGGAGAGACACATTTCGGGCATCCAGCCGTCCTTCCCCAGTAACCTGACGTTTACAGTCCCCATGAGCCCCAGCAAGAGAAAATCTGATGCCCCCCCTCCTCCACCCCTTCCCTCACACCACCACGACTATACGCCCAAAACAGAGCTGGATCTGGGAGACCTCAACAACTCTTTCAGAGTTCTTTCGCCCCAAACACCAGCATCACATTCCCGCACACATACGCCCACCCTCTCCCAGCTCAAAGGACATAGCACACCCTCTTCCAGCAGGCCCCCATCCTCTGCTGCTACCTCTCCTCCTCCTCTGCTGGTCTCCGCAACTCCTCCTTCTCCTCTCTCAACTGACGGAGGGCCTCGACGAGTGGTCCCTATACCCCAACAGACTTTACGGGACTCCCCTGTCATTGTTCGAAATCCTGAAGTTCCATTTGCAAAATTCACAGAGTCTCCATCAGAAAGAGGAGGAGGCAGAAATGAGGCAGCTATAGATAATAACCCCCCTAAAGAAATTGCGCTAACCCCCCTCACTGCTCAGCCCGTCGCAGGCCTCCAGGTTCCCGTCCCTATTAACGCTGCCACAGCAACAGTGCCCAACGGTACTGTCTACTTGCGGAGCCCAGCCCAAACTCTGGTTCTCGTTTCCCCGACAGCTTCCTCCCTATCTTCCACTGACCCGACAGCCAACCCCTTGCAAGCCCTCTCAATTACCGTCAGCACAACCGTGGCAGCTTCTGCTCCAAGTAGCACAGACAGCTCTGGAGAGCGAGAGGACAACAAGTGCACCGTGTTTGGTGGGGAGGTGCAGCAACCAGTTCCCTGTCACCCCTCTCCCACAGCTCTGCTCCCTCTAATCCTACCAGCAGAAACTTTGCACCCTGCCCCTCGAAAGGACATCATCATGGGACGTCCTGGGACAGGTGAGAGTGTGCACAAATATGTGGAGTATTTTTTGTGTATTGGGCAGTCAAGTAAAAAGCAGTGTGTAAACAGTATGTGTCTGCCTTCTAGAAAGTTCTATGGTTAGTGTTGATAGCAATATCTGATTAACAATATAAATTAAAGAGCGCTGGTAGGATGTTATTAAAATTAATGATTATAAAATCAGAAATATCCGCCCATCAGTTATTGAGGTACGCCTTACTATTTTCAGATGGTGAAATGTAGTGGAACTGTTGTATTTATACAGATTGATTTTGAGGAACAAGTACCAAAAGGGAAAAAACATCTTAACACACAAATGAAGCCAGAGGCACATTTAAGATGCTTTATGCAAACAGAGAAAGCTCAGCATGTTAATTTAATCTTATAAGTTTCTTTCATTTTTGTTGTTCTGCACAAATAGAGAAAGACAAAAACTCACACACTCTTACTTTATTTATTAAAAAGCAGCCTTGTACCATTCATTATGATCTGTTGTTCTCAAATTATTAGATTAGACTAAAAATTTTGATCCATGAATACCTTAGGTACACTGGAAAAAACGATCTAGAAATAAGTAAAAATGTCTTAAATTAAGTGTATTTATCCTTAATTTGAGTAGGTAAATGAGACGATTTGCCAATGTAAAGAGTACTTCTACTCTTAAAATAAGATATTTAGATAAAAAGGGTTGAAATAAGACAATATAATTTTGTTTTCTTATTTTAAATGTAAATTGTCTTGTTGCATTGGTAAAATGTCTCTTTTACCTTCTCAATTCAAGAACATAAGCACTTATTTTAATAAAAAATTACTTATCTAGATTTATATTTTTTTTCCAGTGTAAAAATGGTTTCGCAGTATTCTGATGTTAAAACAAATATTTAAAACAAACATCTATAACAAGTAATTATTACTTATATTAGAAATAAAAAAGTAAATTTTTACTACTACATTATCAATTAAAAATGTTATCTCCTAAAAACATTACATAAATGTTATTATAATATTTAAGCAGCAACTAGATAAGAGTGGTTAGTATAGAGAGTATTATCCATGTTTGCTGTTCTGCATGCTGTAGAATATTAAAAATATAATGAGCTGATATTAGTTATATACGGTAAGTAGTTGATCTATTTACTCAGGGAACGGCCTGAAGTCAGCTTCATAACAGACCCGCTGCCTGCAGCTTTCCACCTGTAACACTTAGCTCGTTATAGTAAGACTGTGGGGCTTTACATCTTCATAATGGCTATTCATACTATTTACAACTGCAAAATATTGTCACAGTTAAATTTGTCTCTATTGTAAGCAGGAGCAAATGTAAGAGCCTTGTTTCAGCCAGCTGAATAACAGTGCACAGCAACAGGTGGAAGGCAGATAGCAGATAGGAAAATAAAAAAAACTGAAAGCACGTCAAACCGTAGGTACTGTATATTTATGTTTTTTATTTCAAAACCTTTACTGTTCAAACTCTTGATGCACACTGATAACGGTAATCAATGCGTTTCTGCTTTAGACTGATCTGTTTCAGACCCCCCCCCCCCCCAAAAAAAGAAAAAAATCAGTTTTAATAAATAAAATTAGGATAAAAATCGAGAGCAATAGAGGGTTGGCGTTACATACATATGCAAAGACCTGTGTGTGCTGATCTCAGTGAAGGAGGTCCTGTAAGCCAACATGCTGATGTCCCATATGGCTACTGCCCCCCCAGGTCACCTTTATGCCACTCTTCTCTCTGCTGACATCAATAACCAAATGTTAGATTTTGTAACTGGAACAGGTAAATTCCCTTCAACCAGCATTTGCAATTAAACACAAAAATGTGAAAATAAGATTAATCTGGAGATTTCAAATGACTAATTCAATGCTATTAACACATTACAATTAAATAGGAAATACAACTTTTCAGGAGTAGCTAAAAAAAATTTGTTTTATTTGATCTGACTCAAAGTAATTGTTGTTTGAACGCGTATAAATTTAAATGGTTATGGAGCAAAGCGTAATTTCTCTGTAATCCTCTGAGTGTGGTGGAGTGTGTGTGTTAGGGTTGGAACAAAAAAAAAAAGGAAAGCAGAATGTATGCGACGACATGCATGGCTGTGCTGTTTTGTGTTTTCTATAGGGATTAACTTCCAACATTATAAAGGATTAGCTTTGCAGATAGCGGAGGTTTCCTCTTATATTTCCAGTCATTACGTAGCAGTAATTTTTAAGGCTGAGTGGTAAAAGTGCTGCCTCACGATATACCTGAGATACTGTGCTGGAACAACAGCAGGATTTGTTTTGAAAATTAGGTAAAACAAATTATCTTCATTTACAGTTGAAATAAAAAATGTGGAGAATTTATTTATTTATTTATTGTGCTTTCCTGATAAATAAAACGAAAACATGTTAAAATCAAACAGAACAGAAGAACACACAGCAAGGATAACAAGCCAAAAAGTGCAACTCAAATGCATGGATTGTTTTATTTTCTCTTTCCTATATTATAAAATGTGTGTATGTGTGGTCGACTCTCTGACCCCAGGAGATGTTCTTACTAACTGCAAACTCTTCCTGTTTGCTCGTTCGTTTTTATTTGTTTAACAGTAACTGTATAGTGAAACAGGGTGTAAGAAGCCTCTGAGGCCAGCTATATCGAAGTGTTATTTTTTTTCTGAATCCTGTGTTGCATAAATACAGCAAGTTGTAGTGTTTTGTGTGGGTGTGTAAAAAAAAACAAAAACTGTTTTTCAAACTCCAGTATGGAGGGGAAGTGCTATGTTATAGCGTGAGAGTGAGAGCATTATTTGTCATCATCAGTTTATCTTCAGGTCTGTTACTTGTGCACATGTGGTGTCAGTCGGTGTGATTCACATAACCTTTTGCCCTCGCTGTTGCCGCACCGATCGTTGTGCAGGCACTCACGGGTGTGACGGCCAAAGGAGACAAGGGGTGTCAATTTAAATATATTCTCCTTCTGCTGATCCTTTTTTTTTAAATGCAGCTGAAGGGACGCTGAATGAAAGAATGGCACCACTGTGAGTGAGTGTGTGCACGCTTTGCTGCGAGCGTGTCCGGAGCACATGCGTTAGTGTGTCCAATTACACGTTTAGTCTGTTTCTTGGGTGAGAAATTGTTGTGGCATTTTCTTTTAGGTATGTTTATTTTTTCTCTGAAAAAGGGTAAAAAAGCAACCTATAGTTATTTTAATATTGCGTGGATAATTATATTATATTATATAGATTGATAATTATAAGCATATTTTTAGTTTGAATAATACATTTTTCATGACACAATCAAAACTATAGTTTCCTGTGGTTCCATCTACTCATAGACCATCATATAATGCATAAATGTGAAGGTGAAAATAAAAGAAATGCATGTTTTTCAAAATGCTGTGAATACTGATAAAATGAGAAATAATTATATCTGTATGCCTTAATTCTTTAATTCCTAAATATAATCCAGGCACCCCTAATGGCCTTTAAAAGTGACACTATTAGTAAATGGGATTATACTGATTTCACAGCTGTTCTCTAAAGGACCAGAGATATTTTTCAGATGACATTAGTGAAAACTGATGACTTCAGAGCATGCGTACGAGCCCATGGAAAATGTTGAGAAGTTTCTTGGTAGGGTATAAAACAGTTTCCCAGGCTAAGGCCATCTCATCGAGCACTGGTCAGGCCATTATTTAAAAATAAATATAAAAAGTTCACAACTGCAATTTTAACGAAACAGGGCTGTGCACCTGAACTGATAAAGCTGCAGAGATCAGCTGCCCAAACTCTTAATTCTCTTAATTCTATACAAATCTGGCCTCTTTGGACAAGCAGCAATACTGCTTATAGCAAGTTCCTCTATACTTTGCCACAAACATTGCGACCAAAGAAGTTTGTTTGATCAGATGAGGCATCATTTATTTGTTAGCCTTCATGCACAATGCATTATGTTGTGGAAAAAATAACACCCTGGACAAAAAGTCTCAATTGTGAAACATGGTGATTGGCAGCATCATGCTGTGGGGATTCCTTTTTCTGCAGGGGCAAGGGAACTTGGTCAAAGTTGAAAAGATAAATGCAGGTAAATACAGAGTAATTCTGGCAGAGAACGTATAGCTGCAGCTATTTGGAATAGCTATCATTCCATAGTTATGCAGAGCTGAAGAAGGTTAAAAGAGCTGAAGCTGTAGTTACACTGAAAGGTGATGCTGCTTTTTACTTAATGTATGTTTTTCACTTCACAATTATGCATTAATTTTTCTTGGTCTACCGTGTGGCATCCACATAAAATACAATCAAGTCTGTGAATATAGCCTGACACAATTACGGGGTTCAATAATACTTTCAATGAGGTCTGATCCTCAGAAAAGTTTTTGTGAGAAACGCACTAAATTAATTTTGGCATCTTATGATTTATGCAAAACATTTGAGATCATTTCAGCTTAAAAATAATGTCATTAGATACGTGTGTTTATGCTTGTGTAATGATAATGACTGTGAGTCAGAGCACACACTGACACTCGGTGTCAGCATCAGCATATATTTGGCTCGATTTATGAGAGAAAACTACGGCAGTGTTCACCGGGAGGTGAACACACCGAAACATCCTCACCAACCGTTCTATGATGTGCATTACTGAATCCACACTCTTACTTATGAAACACTTTTTAAGATCTATCAAACCTGCTCATAAAATATTTATATATTTTTTTCAAATACAGCCAAAGCTTGAGAAATTTAAATATATTTATCAAAATATTCAGAATGTTTTGTTAGGTAGAGATTTTAGTCTAAATAAGAGTGAAATAAATTCATTATAATAAATCTGGGGCTTAAAAGACACAGGCAAGGCAGTGTATGAGGCTTATGAAGCTTACGTGCTGTGTTTGTGATCACTTGTAGAAAATGTACAACACCAACAGTCCTCTAAAATAACCGGCCTGAAAGTCTGATGAGGAGAACTAAAACTTGTTGGGTGAAGGATAAGACCTTTTTTTCAGTGTGTATCTCCT